AATTTCTTGTAGATAGTTTTAACTTCGAAATACACTGTGTTTCTGCAGAGCGCAATGCGTAGCACGATGTTCACTATTCGGAGTACGAACTCTCTCTGACTTATTTGCAATCAGCAATGCAAATATAAAGAATCCATAAAACTTTAGTGGGGGCGTGGCCTAGGCCTTTTACTTTGTTACTTTTACTTAACTTTGTATGCATTACACCCATATACATTAATATTTAATACATTTTATATATCTACCTGTCAAAAAAATACTAAATTTAAATTCTGTTAATTTCAATATCACTATCAGCAAACGCTAAATATAATACAACTAACTGGATTACAGTATGTTTGCAGTAATAGAACTCCAGAAGAACAAGCTGGAGGGCGGCGCATTGTTAATTGATTATTATAGGTTTAGAAGATTAAATAGGTACATGGGCAACCCAAAAAAAAAAAAAATGCTCAACATGTGAACCGTTTGGTAATTAAACTAGCCTTATATTTTTGAGAAATCCAATGAAAAGTTAAAGGTTGCAGAGGACACATCGGATGTACTTTTAGACTCAGAAGCGGTTAATTTTCGGTTCAAAAGAAGGAAAATTTCAAAACCCCCAAGATACCCAAGTTCAGTAATGACAAAACTGAACATCGCAAACTCCCAGCTCCTCAGTATAAAATCATCGTTTTTATYCGCARATAACTTAMCATATTGTATAACATTGTGACCAGTCTGACGCATTAAAATATACAGTTATTTTATATGTAGTTGTTTTAATACAGTTTTTATKGTTGATAATTTGTTTCAGCTGGTTCCTGCAAAACACCCCTAACTTCAACACCTGGCCAGTGTCCAAACATTTTAAAGGTTTGTTTTGTTTTATTAAATTAGAAACATTGCTGGTATTAGTGAGGTTTCCTATTTCGTAAAACATTTTCTATTCCTAAATGAGTTTCATCAGCTGACAGAACCACTAACAGCACATTCAAGAGTTGCTCTCAAATTGGAAATAAATTTGGTGAGTAGACTGTGAAATCCTATTTAAAAATAACAAATTTTTGAATCTTAAGCCTGTGTCCCATGCATCCGCTTATTCGATGGTACGGTGATACGAAAGTGTCTCTATTGGTTGATAGATCCCCAACCAATAGAAACACTTTCGTAGCACTATTGGTTGGAGATCTGTCAACCAATAGAAACACTTTTGTATCATCGTACCATCGTATAAGCGGATGCATGGGATACGGGATTTAGCCGTATAACATTATGTCATATATGTTATGTAAACGTATATTATATTTGAATTCTCTGGGTTAACAATGTATCTTTCAGATATGCTTATTAGCAAATGCATGGCTTTTTCTTTTGGAAATGGTGCACCTTCCGAATTTGCTACGTTTCCACTGCTTCATAGTTTTAAGGATGCTTGTTAAATGTTTGTTTTCAATAAAACATTTAAACTATAGATATATTTTGTAATTGTAATATAAAACCGATAAAAAAA